AAGACTCTCATTTCATCGTTATCACTCCTAAACTATCTCAGGATCCAGGGACAAAAACAAAATATTATAATAAAAGATGTTCCTATTACTCTTACCACTTAGGAAATTACAAAGGCTTCAGGAGCCCTGGCCAAGAGCTGGGGACAAGACCAAAATATATAATATATATTTATTAATCACAGCATCACACTTTATAAGGTATTAAAATGAATTATACAGCAAAATAGTTAAAAGGATGCTACTAGGACAAGAGGCTAATACATCAATGGAAATACTTAAATACAATGGACATTTATGACAAAGTTGCCATTTCAGATCAGTTTGGAAAAAAGTAGATTATTTGACAAATAATGCCAAGATGCTTTGTTAGCCATTTGAAGTTTGGGGAGAATTTAAGTTGTAGCCCTACCTTAACTCCTGTCACCCAAATCCACATATTTCAAAGATCTACATATAAAAAAAGAGGTCATATTATAAAAGTCCTAGATGAATGCATGGATTATTATGACTTTTCTAATAAAGTGGAATGGGGGAAGGCTTTCAAGATCTGGCAAAATCTAGGAGTCATACAGGCAAAGATTTGATAAATTTACCTACATATTAAAGTTTCTTCCTGGTTGAAAATACTGTAATGCAAAGCCAATTTATAAATGGAAAGTGGGAAAACAGTTTTAAGAAATTGAGAAACTTGAGAAAAGGAACTAATTTTCTCACTGTGCAAAGAGCTTTTTACAAATCAAAGACAACTTTCATAGAGAAACAGTCAACGGACACAAACTAGACGTTTATAGTAAAAGAAATGCAAATAGCCATTAAAAGACCTGAAGTAATACTTAATGTTTCTCATAATTAAAGAAATATGCTAAAACCACAGATTTTGTTTTGCCTATCACAATAGCACAGAAGAAAAGATTTGATGATCCTTAGTATGGCTGAGTACATGGGGAAACATCCATGCACTCTCATTAGACTGTTGTTAGAAGCACAAATTTGTTGTAACATTTTTTGAAGGTGCAGGGCAATTTGGCAATATCTAACAAAATATTGAAATGAATTTTCCCTTTTCACCCAGCATTTCCACTTACAGGAATTATAGATATACAGATAAACTATACCCAGAAAAATAAACTTACACGCACACACACACAATAGGATGTTCACTGCGGTGTGCTTTGGAAGCAATTGGGAAGAAACCAAATACCTGCTGAAATTATGGTACATCAAATCAGTTTATATAAAAAATGTTTGTATATGCTTAAAATTTATATTTGAACAAATATTTTTGTACTACTTGGCGGGAATTTAAGTGGACAGAAGAAACCTTGTTTAATAGTTATTCACTGGAAAGTGGGACTAGAGGAGCTGCAGTGATAGTAGGGAGAGCTTTATTTTTCACCTTATTTGGATATTTTGCATGTTTAATTTTTAAAAAACAGTAAATCATATTTTCAGTGTACTTTGATATGTTTTGGAGGAATTTGGCAAATGCTGTGTATAAAATTAATGTCATTATCAGAAGTAAATAACCGTCTCAACTGGTTTGACCTTTACTGTTAACAAAGTGCCATGAGATGGCGATTATCTAATCCTGATGCTCTGTAGAGCCCTTTATATTTAAGAAATTTAGCTTGCTCATTTTCTACTATTTCGTATATATTTTACTTCAGTTCCAAATCAGGGGAACTGTGTTGATTGAAAATATTGATATTCTAAAACAAACATATTTTAGAGTAATGTTATCTATTTCCTTATTGTTTTACTTGTTTAGAGTATATTCTAGATAGCCCTTCAAAGTTTTGCTTCTTTTATCCTGTTGCTAAGGTATTCTTTCTGAAATACAGCCATAATTATGTTACTCCCCTGTTTAAAATGGTATACTGGGTCTTCATTTCTTTTAAGAAAAAAATCTAAAGTCCTTGACCTGATGTTCCAGCTCTGTAGAACTTGGCCCAAAGTAACCTTTCCTACCATATTTTCTTCTACTTTATAACTTTTATAAGCCACACACACGGAATAATTATACTCTTCCTTTATTTCTTAGTGCTTTCCCACTCATAGGCCTTTGCTCATGCTATTTGATGAAGTGGGGAGAGGCCAGCTTGCTCTCCCCAGTTAAAGGGTTGAAGTATGTTGTCAAGGAGAGTGGTACACAATGAGGAAGGGAAGTTATATAGTACTTTTATGCCTTGTTAAGGCATTTGGGTTTTGTTCTAAATGCAAGAAAAAGCCATTGAAAATTGCTAAATGAAAGATGACAGGTCCAGTTTACATTTTTAAAAGATTACTTTGACCACTGTTTGAAGAATAATTGGGAAAAGGACAAGAAGGGACAGGAGACCTATTAGAGACATGCAGTATTGTGAGAGGAAATAGAATTGGACAGATTTATGATTGTTTGGTCAGGGATTAATGGCAGGAACAGGAAGAAAAGGGAATTGGAAGTATCAAGAACAACTCTCAGATTTTGGTTTGGACAATAGGGTGATGTGCCATTTATAGAGATGTAAAAGATTGGGAGAGAGGTACAGTTCCAGAGGAGGCTAGAACAGAGTTCAGTTAGGGGCATTTAAAATTTGAGGTGGCTGTGGCCAAGTAGATATATCAAATGTATAGTCGAGTATATGAATCCGGAGCTCAACAGAGAATCATAGCTTGAAATGTAAGTTTGAGAGTAGTCACCAGCATGAAGATGATACTAAGAGCCACAGGAAGAGATGAGATCACCTAGAAAGAGAATATAGAATGAGAACATCCCCTGAAATTGGCCATACTGGAGGTCGTTGATCATTTTAGCAAGAGCAGTTTTAGTCCAATAGTATGGCTGTACTCTGAATTAATTTGAAGAGTGAATGGGGGTAGGAAAAGAGATAAAGAACAGGAAAATACATATTTTCCACTTTGGAAGCTTTGCTATGAAGAGGAACAGAGAAACGGGCTAGTGCCTGGAGGAAGATGTGAGGGTTTTCTAAAGATATGATGTACTTAATAATGCTTTCAAGCTTTTGGAAATGATCTATTAGAGGGGGAGGGCCTGAAGATAAAAGACAGATATGAAAGAGAAAAGAACCAAGGTCTTGAAAGGAAGCTAGGTTGGCCTCCAGAGCACCAGTGGAGTGACTTGCCTTTAAAAGAAGGAAGGGTCCAAAAAGGTCATAGGAGCAGGTGGATAGGCATAGATAGCAGTTGCCTCAGGGCAACCATACGTGATTATCCCTCTGCCCAGAATGTTCTTCACCTACTAGGTTTTGTTGATTTGTTTAGCTCTCATTTTTACTTCATATTTCAGCCCCCTTAGAGAAGCCTTTTCTAATTACCATTTCTCATTTAAATTATTCTTATATCACCTTGGTTTTCTCCTTCATAACCCTTAAACCATTTAAAATTATATATTTGTTTTTATGTATTTGTTTAATGCAGTAGCTGCAATCTCAAGAACCTGTAGAAACTAAGTGAAATCTCCCAATTTTTAAATATTGCTAGATAATTCTAAAAGTGTACAGTCTTTTTATACTTTAGATATGAAAGCAGATCCCATGTATCCCACTATACGCTGCAAAAATCCATAGGGATTCCTAGAGTATTTGATGAAAATTCTGGCTGCCAGTGATCTATAGTATGGGTGAAAAGGATCCCATAGTTGCATGTGTTTGTCTTTGTTTCTGCCCATGATGCATATTGCTCCCGTATGAGAGTTTATAATTAGGGCTCGTGATTGTGTCTTAGCCCATTCCTGCTGCTATGACAAAATACCACAGACTGGGTAATTTATAAATAATAGAAATTTATTTCTCACAGTTCTAGAGGCTGGGAAATCCAAGATCAAGGTGCCAACAGATTCAGTGTCTGGTGAGAGCTCAGTCTCTGCTTCCAAGAAGATGCTTTGTTGCTGTGTCCTCACATGGTGAAAGCTGGAAAAGAGCCAAACAGGCTCCTTCAGGCCCTTGTACAGGGGCACTAATCCCATTCACAAAGGTGGAGCCCTCATGACCTAATCACCTCTTAAAGGCCCCACCTCTTAATACTGTTGTATTGAGGATTAAGTTTCAACCTAAATTTTAGAAAGACACATTCAAATCACAAAATTGTAAGATATTATTATATCTAAAAATGCCTCCTTTTTTATTTCTGCAAATTAACTGCTGTTTTTTTCACCAACTGTCTGATATGTATATTATCTCTTTATAATTACAAATCCAGAGGAC